TCTATGAGGTTCAGTGGTGTGGCCTCTTTCATCTCCTTGGCTGGATGCTCTAGGTTTGCCCTGTCTTCTGTTTATGTGGGCTCTCTTATATTTGGGTTTGTATCTTTTGGTGGTTTCTTTATTGGTGATTTTTCTCCTCCAGCAGATATACTGATGTTCACAACTCTCACCTATTCTTGTATGTGATCAGTGGCAGCAGGTAGGCAAAATGCATTGACAGCAGGAGAAGCAGGAGAGTATTTTATGGGATTTCAAGTACCAGCAAGTAGAGAGGAGATAGGAGATTCTTTGCATAAGTATAGTGTTAACTGTGATATTTCACCCCATTAGCCACTTTTTATAAAAGGTGAAAGAAAGATAAGAGGTGATCTGAATTCAGAAATCAGAGTGCTTTCCAAGCTTAGATGATGAGATATAGGTGAGATTAAAGTATAGAAAGTAGAGGTAGGGTGAGAGAGAAGAGTTTTCCACAATAATAATAATGCTCAGAATTAAAATGAAGTGGGTTAAGTTCATGGATGGTGAAATATGTACAACTGCATGGAAAAACAAGTATTATCAATAGTACTGGAACAACGATAATAGGACAAGAAATATATGATTTGGATAACCAGAATATAAAGTACCTGGTCGAGACTTGTGTGTTACTAGAACATGGGTGAAGTGAAAGAAGGAAAATTAAAATACAATACAGCGAGAATAAGCAAACCAGTCAAGCAATGCAATTAAATGGAAATAAGAGAGGAAAAATAAATATAAGAGAAATAAAAATATTAAATAAAAATGGTAAAAACTAATTGCAAGATAATAATAATATACATACATAATAAAATGCCAGTTCTGTGGGACAGCTAGGTGACACTTGTCTCAGTTTCTCAGTTTTTGGGGTTAGCCTTGTGCTCTCCCTTTTGATCTGTCTCTGGACCCTTTGTAACTCTGTGTCTTGTTGTCTCACTTAGGAGAAGGAAAAAAACTGGGGAGGAAGAGAGGATCGAAAAAGAATAAAGAAGATAATAATAAACCTCCCGCTGACTTTAAACCTGTTCAGGTAGTTCTGCTGATCTTCCTAGATGCCAGAGGAAGAGGGGGCTGAGCTTTGCTTTTCTCCCTTCTTTTGATTATGAGAGGATGGGTACCAGGTTTGGGTTGCAATATTCACAGTATTCTGGCATCTAGTCCAGGTCTTCCATGAGCTGCCAGGCTCAAACCAGCCAGTCAGCTGATCACAGCATGGGTCAATGTCTGTTGCAGAACCTGAGACAAGAGGGGTGCATATTTCCCCTCCGCCACTGCCTCTGGGCTTTTGCAGCTGAAATCTCCCTCAGGTCACACCAGCAGCTGCTGGAGAGTTCCTTCAAAGCAGCTGCCCACAGTTCTTAAAAATCATATGGCTTTTCACATAGCCCCACTTTTCAACCAGTCCGGGAAACTACTAGTTGAACCCTGACCCTGAAAGGTCAGGGTCTGACATGGCTCAACTACTCCCTTCTCCTGGTATCACCCAGCACCCCAATTTCTCTGGTGCCAGCGTCCACAGTCCCAGCGGATGTGTACTGCCTCTGTGTGTCTCCCACTTTGTCTCTACTTCCCCCAGCGACTTCCAGCACCCAGGTACCTTCTGGTGCCAGGCTGCCCTCCCTGCTCTGGTAGAGGAGAGAGCTGGTGCTCTAACTCTCCTCTTTGTATCCTGAGGCAGGTGCTGGCCTGGGGACTGAAGCAGCCTTGGTCCTGGTGCAGATCCCAGAGACCTTATTGTTCCAGCACACTCTTCTCACTGTTTTTCAATAACCTCTGCATTTTTTTTTTGCCTCCAAACTTCATATGAGCTGCGATTCCGTTGGCTCTTCACTCCGTTCCTTGGAAGATTGGCTAGGTGTTCCAGATGGACACAGGGAGAACTGGGCTCCACTTCCACCTACTGCAACACCATCTTCCCATCCTCCGAACTTGTTGATTTTGATGCCTGTTAGTGCTTCTGCTGTTTTTTGTTTTACCTCTTTCACGTCGGCAAAATGTTTCCCTTTAAGGACTTTTTTCTTTTTTTTTCCAATATATTTTATTGATTATGCCATTACAGTTGTCCTATTCCCCCCCTTCATTCCCCTCCACCCTGCACATCCCCTCCCCCACCATTCCCCCCTTTAGTTCATGTCCATGTGTCACAAGTTCTTTAGATTCTATATTTCCCATACTATTCTTGCCCTCCCCGTCTATTTTCTACCTACTATCTATGCTACTTATTCTCTGTACCCCCTCCCCCCTTCTCCTCCTCCCATTCCCCTGCTGCTAACCCTCCATGTGATCTCCATTTCCATGGTTCTGCTCCTGATCTAGGTGTCTGCTTAGTTTGCTTTTGTTTTAGGTGTGGTTCTTAATAACTGTGAGTTTTCTATCCTTTCACTGTTCATCTTTTTTATCTTCTTTTTCTTAGATAAGTCCCTTTAACATTTCATATAATAAGGGCTTGGTGATGATGAACTCCTTGAACTTGACCTTATCTAAGAAGCACTTTATCTGCCTTTCCATTCTAAATGAAAGCTTTGCTGGAGAGAGCAATCTTGGTTGTAGGTCTTTGGATTTCATGACTTGAAATACTTCTTTCCAGCCCCTTCTTGCCTGTAAGGTCTCTTTTGAGAAATCAGCTGACAGTCTGATGGGCACTCCTTTGTAGGTGACTGTCCCCTTATTTCTTGCTGCTTCTAGGATTCTCTCCTTCACTTTAATCTTGGCTAATGTAATTATGATGTGCCTTGGTGTGTTCCTTCTTGGGTCCAACTTCTTTGGGACTCTCTGAGCTTCCTGGATTTCCTGGAAGTCTATTTCCTTTGCCAGATTGGGGAAATTCTCCTTTATTATTTGTTCAAGTAAGTTTTCCACTTGTGGCTGTTTCTCTTCCCCTTCTGGTACCCCTATAATTCGGATGTTGGAGCTTTTAAAGATGTCCTGGAGGTTCCTTAGTCTCTCCTCATTTTTTTGAATTCTTGTTTCTTCATATTTTTCTGTTTGTTCCCTTTTTTCTTCCTTCTGGTCCACTCCCTTGATTGGAGTCCCAGTTTCCTTTCCATCACTATTGGTTTCCTGTGCATTTCCCTTCATTTCAGTTAGTTTAGCCTTCATATGTTCCTCTAATTTGTGACTAAAATCAACCAATTCTGTAAGGATCCTGATCACCAGTGTTTTGAACTGTGCATCTGATAGGTTGGCTATTTCTTGGTGGCTTAGATTTATTGGCTCTGGGGCTTTTAGTTTTCTGCTTGAGTCATAATGTTCTGGTCAGGTCACACCTATTATATATTGAGGGTGGAGACTTAGGTGTTCACCCGGGTGGGGCGACCCAGTTGCTAGGTTGTGATGCTGTATGTGGGGGCGGGGTCAGAGAGGGGCAGTGGCGTTTGTTCGACTTTCTCTCAGATTTCTGTCCCCTCTGCTGCTTCCCACAAGCAAATTGGGCCCTTCTGGTGCTGGTTCCCAGGTGTGTGGGCCTGTGCACCTTCCAGGACCCTATGGGTCTCTCCAATGAACTCTCTGTGAGCCTGGGAGCTTCTCCCGACACCTCGACCCCCTAAAGTCTTTCCAACTGGTGCTTTTCAGGCTCTAATTGCTGTCGATGGGGCCCTGGCCTGAGCAGTCTTTCTCACTGCTCGCTCCTTTGCTTGGTTTCTCTGCACCCCAATGTGTGACCGTGGTCAGCCAGCCGCCTTGTGCTCTCACTGGGTCTGCCCGTTGCCACCTCACATATCTGGGATCCGTCACCCGCCAACTGAGTGCCTGTGCTCCTGAGCTCCTGGGTTGGTTGGCTGATCTTTCCTGCCCAACCCCACTCTGCTGCTGACTCCACCCCTCTTACTGGTCTGGCTGAAGGGTTTGTTGTTATCGGACTTCTGTACAGTTCAATTTTCTGTGTTTTGGCTCTGTTTTTGTTACTAAAACTGTTGTCTTTAAACTTGGTTGTGAGAGGAGGCACAGTGTTTCCACCTATGCCTCCATCTTAGCCAGAAGTTATTAGGACTTTTTTCATACCAGGAAACATACAGAAAAAATTGCTGGGGGCAAGATGAGGTGAATAGGGAGGGTAGGGCACAAGGGTCATACCTTTTTTGGTATGACTGCTGAATATTCTGCATAGTGTGGGCAGGTGTGCCTGTGTGTGTACTATGAAATGGGCACACATTTTGAGAATCTTAAAAAAAAAATTCACTGAGGCCGAATGTAGCCCCTTACAACAATGCTAGTGGTACACTGATGCAAATGGGTTTCTAGTACACTCACCTAGTGGGCGGTTCCCCCTTGTATCATGGTTCGATGTTAGGATTTCTAGTTCATTTTTAATTCTCTTAATCACATTTCAAAGTGATTTTTCATTCAGTCATTCATACGTCCATTCAATACTTATTGAGCCTTTCTAGTTGGTGGTCCTTTATTAGATTAAATAGAAGAACATTGTTTCTGTAGTCAAGTTGCTTAAAATCTGGTAAGGGAGAGAGAAAATCAACTAGATCACCAGCACATAGCATAGGAATTACCCCTGTGAATCTTCTCATCTGCATTTACTGAAATGAGCTTTGAAAGCTATCTAAGCCAGAGGAAGAAGAGAGGGTCATGGCATTCCAGACCAAGGGAAAAGCATAAATGAGGCAGGTAAAAAACAAGCCATCGAAAGAACAGTAAGGGATTGGTTTTGCTGGGCTAGAGAGTACATAATTAGTAAGTGGTAAGAGACTTTATTAAAGATGCAGGCAGAGATAAGGTAATGAAAGTCCTTGTAAGATGTATTTGTTAGAATTAGGTTTGGCTATGAGTGACTGAAATTCAAAATAATAGTGTGAATAAGATAGAGGCTTATTGCTTTGTTATGTAAACCATATGTCTGGGTAGGTGGTAGCTGCAGTGATGTTCCACACTGAGTCTAGAACCCACACTCTCTTTGTCTTTACTGCTCCATGATCCAAACACAGATAATAACTGGCATAACATAGGCATTTAAAATAAAAGTGGTTTTATTTAAAAATTCTAAAAACATGCTTTAAAGAACAGTTGCCGGAATACTGAATAATAAGAAGAAACATCTTCATAAGCCAGACAATCACAAGCAGAACTTCTATTGTCCATGGAAATTAATTTTTTAAAAGATTTTATTTATTTATTTATCTTTAGAGGAGAAGGGAAGGAGAGAGGGAGAGAAATAGCAATGTATGGTTGCCTCTCATACATCCCCTGTTGGTAACTGGCCTGCAACCCAGGCATGTGCCCTGACTGGGAATGGAACCGTGGTAGTTTGATTTGCAGGCCTGAGCTCAATCCACTGAGCTACACCAGCCAGGGTGGAAATTAATATTTTTTAAAAATCTTCTTTTCAGTTAAGAAGAGTCTTCAGAGCACCATTATTTGAAGGAAAGGTATTTTGCATATCAGAGTTCATCTTTGGTCTGAAATTAAGAAGCAAAATATTTAGAGACACCAGGAAGTCCTATATAAGTTAGGAATACTGGTATTATTCTAATTGTTTTCTCTACTGTGAAGTGAAAAAAAGCCAAGTTACTAGAACAGACTTGTAGGGTCAGGAGCTGTTTTTGAAATCACCCACAGATAGAGCTTTATAGGGCTACTAATGTGGAACCCAAACATCTAAGGGACTATAGGGTGTTGTGTTATAAATAGTCAGTGAATCAGTAAAATCATTTAATACCCCTCAAAACTCTGAGACAAAAATAAAAAATAGAAAGAGGAGTGTAATTGAGGAAGCTGCCCAGTTTCATTTGGAGCCCACAAAAGCATTCTGATACCAAATTACTAACTTTGTGAGGGGGTACCTTTCAATTTTGGCAATTTGTTTTGTCACTGGCTTTAATTAATTTTATGGTTTTGGAGCACTGAGAGGAGTTAATGTTGGTTGATTATGTACCACTTTGAAGGGCTATTTGGTGGCAAATCAGTTCTCAACAAAACTAAAAAAAACCAATACAACCAAATCCTGATTATTATCATGCCGTTGCTTTAAAAATGTCAATATATATCCTATGTATACAAACCACAATTTTATATAATATACATTCCTTCAAACGAAAAACAACCAATCAAAACAACCTTCCCTCCTGCACTGTCTTTATACACAACCAGGCATACAATGTGAAGATAAGACACTGATTTTTGGTCCCTGCTTTGCTGTAATCCAGCTAGCTGATTCTGAACTAATTACTTTTTGATCAGTTTTGTTAACGATAAAATGAAGGTATTTACTGGATGACCTCTAGCCTGAACTTTTTAGCCTGAAAAGTTCCTATGTGAATTTGCCTTTTATAAACAAAGTCACTATGTAATGTTATCAACAAAGATTGCTTTTCATGAATAATCTGCTAACAAGAATAATCATGGTTACATATTTTTTCATTTTTCAGCTGGCATGATGAACTTTGCCAAACCTATCTCACAGGGAGATGAGGCTATTAGATGATACAAGTGAAAATACTTTTAAAACATTAGACATCTATTCAAACGCTATATGATCTGAATTCTCACATTAAAAAAAGGCTTTCCTCTACTTTGCTGGGAGCTCCTACATCTTCTCAGTTAACTGTATCTAAGTACCTTTTGCCTTGTTATTATCTATTATATCTCTTTGGTAGAATGAATTGCCTGGAGGCTCCATGAGAAACTCAAATAGTTGTTGCCTGACTGAATGACTAAAGGAATAAATGGAGGCTTGGAACAAAGTTAGTTGTTACTCTGACATTGGCTAGTTCTGGTTACCTTTTTCCTATGGCACGTGCAAGGAAAGAGGTCATCCTCAGTCTCTGGTTCTACCCTCTTCATGGCCTCTCGGATTTGGGGCGCACTCACTTGTAAACTGGCATATTCCTGTATAGGGAACAACACGAAAAGCATTCCTTATAAAATGCTTAAAGTACATTTAACAGATTAGATACGCTGGAATTTGCTAGACTATGATCCCATTTAACTCGTGTCTCAATTACAATAGGCAAAGTCCTCCATACTCCCCTTAAACATTCAATGACAGAGCTTCTGAGAGGCAGCTGTCCTTTAGACCACTAGCTACCTATTTCTAAAAGATCTTTCCTTATTCATCCTTTATATATATAATTTGATTTTTTAATTGTTTTTACTGCCTTTGCTTTGCAGTGAAAATACTTGTGAACATGATCTTCCCTAGACTGAGAATTTGAGAAACTATTTCTGTCTTATTCACCATGAGTTGTCCAGAATCAGTTGCCATCATCATTCATTATGTGCTCCCTTTGTGCCAGGTTCTGGGCTAAGTGCTTATAGGCTAGTGTATCTGAGTCAAGTGAATGAATACTACCCTGTATATCTTTAGGAATTTGGGTAGTAAATTCCCCTCCTCTTTCACTTTATACCTTCCCCTCTCTTTGTTTTCACCATCCTCTAAGAAAGGTTTTAAAGGGAAAGAGGCTAGTGAACACCAGAAAAAAGACTTTGTCTTGTAGCAGAGTCTGTGGTATGGTGCTCAATATCTGCAACTGAGATTTTAAAAATAGCTTAATTTATATCTAGTATTATTATTAGAAGATTACTTGCTTACTAGTACATTTTTAAAAGAAACTTTCAAATCATCAGATATGCTTTGTTATGATTGCTAAAATGCCTAAATCCATGCAAATGATTTCCAAAAGAAATCATGGCTCATATGGAATCAGCACAACAGTTCCAAACAGACTTTGCACTAGTAGACAAAGAAATGGTAAGGGAGCAGTAATACTGTACAAAGAGAAAATACAAATCATGGAGAGTAATTTTGCAGAATCAGATGACAATTTCCTAACCACATACCACATGGTTCTAACATTCATACTTTTCCTTTAATATGGCAGTACTATCTACTAAATGACCTTTGGTTTTCTACTCTTTTCATTATTATTTAATATTTGTTGTTGATTTTTACCCACAGAAGTGTGTGTTTATCTCCTTATATAATATACTTTCAGCCTCTGTTAAGTAAAATAATATTTGCTATTAATATGATCAATTACAAGTTAAATATCATTTTCTTAGAATATACTGACCTGGAAAAGTTTAAAATAATAACAGAATATGTCATTGCCCATGAGATTATGTCTTGCAAATTCTTGTCCTGCTTTTGCTATCTTTTTTGCCTATGGGAACAAAAAAATACCCTTTAATGAAATGTGTTTTTCCCCATGCAGACATATGAAAACTGATCTTCAGAGTACATTTTACTGGGACAATGGGGGAAAAATATTTCTGGGGGTGGTCTTTCATGGTATAGGAAGCAGTTAATAGTATGTTTGTCAAAATTACAGGGAGGCTTTTAAGACTTGAAATTTTTTTTTGTAAATGTATTTTATGTTTAGACAGATAGGAAGGAAGAAAGAGAAGGAGAGAAACAACAATGTGTAGTTGCCTCTAGTGCACCCCCTAATGGGGACCTGGCACTCAACCCAGGCATATGCTCTGACCATGAATTGAACTGGTGACCCTTTGGTTCGCAGTCCAGCACTCAATCCACTGAACCATACTAGTTAGGGCAAGACTTGAAAATTTGAGAAGTCATATTAAACCTTTGTGAATTAAGCCTCTCTTGAAGAGAAGGCACACATTAAATGAGGTAACAATAACTTTGTAAAGTTAATGTAGGATTAAGCTTAATGTGCTGCCTTAAAATTTTTCAGGAATTAGTTCAAAGTTTATTTCACGCAATCCCTCACCTAAATCCATAGCACAGTTAGTGTTTTCTCCTGACAGGCAACTTATCTCAATTTCCATGTTACTAGTAGAGGTGAGAGAGTGCTTGAGGCCCAGATCAACCTTACTCAAAGAGAGAGCATAGTTAAGGCCAAGGTTAGATTTCTGTTTCATGTGCAGACTGGACAGCTAATACAAGCACAATGCCTGTGTTCATCCTGAATGGAATTGTTGTCCATGGGGCTTCCTATTTATAGATAAGAGTCTATATCTGAGCATACTGAGCAGTCATTTAAAATGAATGCATGACATTTGGGTACGAGGAGAGACTGACCTTACCTCTTCATCATGATCTTTTGCCCATTTAAGTTTTTCTAGAAGATCACTCAGGTTGCTTTTAACTGGAATGTAGTGTTTCCAGGGCTGCAGCTCATTGTAAAAGTGTTCATAGTAGATAGAATCCTGCTTCAGCACAACACTGTCACCGACTAGAAGATATGGCAGGCGATATGCTGCGACAGTGCCATCAACGTTTATTTGATACTTATGCTGTGAAACAGCAGTAAAATATAAGAACCTCCATTACATTTCCTTTTTTATACTCTCATTGTCTTCCCACTTCCACACAAAAAGCCTCACTATCTTCAGATTTGGCCAGATTTTGCTCACTGCTTTCACCACTTAGTGCTATTGTATAACCTGCTGATCTAGAGCTGAAGGTTTATTTTGATGCTCTCCTAAATTTCACAAAGAGACCACAAGTCTAACGTTGAAGCAGCCAATAAAATAATAAATAACTGTTATCCTTAGGCTACAAACTGAGGAAAGATTGTTTAAGGTGATTTTGTTATCTCTCCACTACTTTGTTAGTCACTATTAATCAACAGTCTTTAATCAATAGCCCTTAGTTGTACCAAATTCAGCAGGTAGGAATAAAGCAAAAGCATGACAGAATATACTGAGGAGGGATGGCTGGTGTTAACTTTCCTTGGTTTTAACCATTCCAAAAATCTCTGCAGTATGCATATGAAAATACTGACAATTCAACTTATGGCATTCTTTAGGTCTACCTGCCACCATGTAACCCACCACAAACAAACAAACAAACAAACAGAAAACAACAACCTTGGCCATTTATGGTGTAGAAAAGCTTGCTAATCACTTCCCTTGCCCACCTTTTTCCCCACCATATGGTACTTCAAAAAGTACTCAGTGGTCTAGAGAAGCATTGGCAGTGTCCTACTGCATGAAAAGGTGGACTTGTTAGAAAGAGGATCACTGCCTGGGAAACGTGAGCCATCCACATTCTAGACACAGAAAATGTTCCTTCGTCTCCAGAATTCCTAGGCAGACCATTTGGATACATTTCAAGTCATTTCCCCATGAGGAGGCCTGATAAGAGCTACCTGGTTTATATCTTCTTTAGCCTGTTGTTAAGTGTGGCTCCAGGGAGAATTATGTGTAAAGTCACTTACATGTTTATTTGTTAATAAAAAAAGGTTTTGTAGCTGAAATGTGCTCTAAATAGATGGTCAATTGGGGGAAGAATAATCTCTCCCCTGGCTCCAAGCTCCCTGATACATATTTAATGCCAAAGTTGGGTACTGAGTATAGACCCATGTTGCCAAACCAATACCCAGGGTCCCATGCCTTGATAGTCAACTGAATTTTATGCTTACCTCTCCCACCCCCTGTAGGTTATAGGCTTTGATTTCTCTTCCCTAAGTAAAGATACAGTGGACCCTTGAACAATATGGGGTTTAGGGGCACTGGCTCCCCGACAGCAATGCTGTCAAAATCTTGCATAAAACTTTTGACTCCTCCAAAATAGATGTCCTTGGTTTCCATGGAGGATTGGTCCTAGGATACTCACAGATACCAAAATCCACAGATGATCAAGTTCCTTATATAAAATGGCACAGATCAATGCACACAGTTGGTCCTCTGCACCTGTGCATTCCCAGCCTCAGATGAAAATACTATTTTTGATCTGTGGTTGGTTGAATCCATGGATGTAAAAACTGGGGAAATAGAGGGCTGACTGTATATTTTTAAAAAAACAAACAGCTTGTAAGTGGACCCGTGCAGTTCAATTCCATATTGTTCAAGGGTCAACTATACTTGGCAAAACAAAAAGGATTGGTCACAGTGATGTCATACCTTGAAGAAATCAAAAAAAGAAATGTGTTTCACAATGGGGCCATAAAGGCTTTCATTGTGTTTAAAGAAGAAAAAGTTGGTGAAGGCTGCATCTATGAGTTCTGGGTGTTTTCTGCTGAGTTTAACCAGCTCGAGTCTCTCTTTGCGGCTGTCTCGCCCTCTCCAGATAGCTGTGGAGTTTTTGCTTTCCCAGGGAGGACCTGTGTTAGCTTGCACAGACATCATATCCAGACTTACTCTGGAAGACAGAAAGTACAATACATTTCTCTTCCAAATCACAACTCAAAGGTTGTTGTGACAGAACTCAGCACACAAAAAACCCCAAGGCTCTGGGTCATCTGCAACCTGTCTCTCACCGGCCCATGGTTTCTAGAACGGAGTCAGTCAGGTCATAGGTAGGCATCACAATATCCTTGGAATCTGTGGAGCCACACCAGGAAAAGATTGGATGGATATGTGAACTGGATTTCTTTTTTTCCAAAGGCCAATCTCCCAAATTAACAAAAAACTCCACGTCGGGCATTTTCACCTAGGAAAAAGAAAGCAAAGAGCTTATTCACATTTCTTGCATTGTATAATGGCTTCTATTGATCAATCTGTTGGGAAAGGTGTCTCTTGCATGCAGTCTGTCTTAGCCAAATAAGAACAGTCTAGGGCCTGGTATACTTCTTTTCCAAGACATAAAGAGCCCTCACAGTGTGGGCTAGGCTTCTCTTCCAGTGAGGGGGCACTACGGCATACCCCCAACTTGTTGTATTCACACTCCGTAAGAAGTGGTCAGGGAGCTTCCACTGCAGCAGGGTGTGGGAGCTTCTACTGCAGTTGGCTGAGGAGTGGATCCACTGGCCCTGGGGTATGGCCACATTGAAAGGGGTTGCATCTTGTGTACTTTCCTTTGCTCTAAGTAAATGCTTGGCCACTTGACCCTGTTCTTAGTGACCTGAAACCATGCACTTGCCTGCCTTTAACTTTGGCCACACTCATTCTATCTTGTAGTACAAGTTGAATACATAGTGAGCAATGAAACACAATAAAAGTTAGAAATTGTATCAGATGAAAGGCCAAGCTTTAGGTAATGATAATTATTTTGATTTGAAGAGTGGGAGTGACTTTTCTGAGTATTGTCACATGTGTAAGCATACTAGATTTCCTTTCTAGGGTGTCCATAGACTTACTTTAATAGGAATGAAATGATGATCTAATACTGCCAAGAGACTCCTAACATGATCCGCAAGAAAGAATTACTAGAAAATAACTACAATCCACAGCACTTGGGACTCTAACTCTAGTTCTTGGCTAATAAACTGGATGCTTCTATCTATTTAAAAATATATTCCAGGTTGCCCTGCCTGGTGGCTCAGTGAGTTGGGTATCACTCCACAGACTAACAGGTTGCCCATTCAATTCATGGTCAGGGCACATGCCTGGGTTGTGGGTCAGGTGCTCAGTTGGGGACATGCCAGAGGCAACCGATTGATGTTTTCCTCCTTTTCTTTCTCCCTCCCTGCTCCTCTCTATGAAAATAAATTTTTAAAAAATCTTAAAAAACAAACCACACCCTAAGTAGGTGATGGGACCAGGAACTGAATTTAGGAAGCCCACTATAAAAGCCAAATATTAGTAACTTCCAAACTATTGGCTTTTACTGGCACAGACGTGTTGAATGAACATAGCCATTGCAAAGTGTATGGGGTGTTTGTAAAACAAAATATATATATATTTAAGACAAGAACTGCTCATCAGTTTGAGAAGCATCTTGAGGAACTGGAGTCCTGGACTGACACAGATGAGCAAGAAATACTTGCTGGCACTGTGATGTCTTAGCTTAAAGGAGGCATAGTACTAATGTTACATAATTACCCATGTTCAAAATTAACTCACTGTAAATGTGTTGCAATCTTAAGAAAGGCACTTTTCCATGAGTAGCTTAACCAAGACATGTACACGGGTGGTTGTTCAATAAATAGCTAGTAAGCAATTGGTAAACATGATGGTATAGTTTTTCATATCAATTGTTTTACCTTTGCTGTCAAGCACTTCACTAGAACCCTGTTAAAGAATATTATACCAAGGAACAGGATTCAGAATACCCTAAATCCCAATATCTCTGGGTGACATTATTTGGAAATAGGTTGTTGCAGAGGTAATTAGTTAAGATAAGAACATACTGGCACAGTGGCTCTTTATCCAATATGACTGGTGTCCTTGTGAGAAGAGGTAAAGACATAAAGATACACAGGAATAATGCCATGTGATGACAGAGACAGAGAATGGAGCCATGCAGCTTCAAACTAAGGAATGCCAGGGATTGCTAGGCACCACCAGAAGTCAGGAAGAGCCAAGAATGCCTCTCCTCTATAGGTTTCAGAGGAAGCACAGCCCTGCTGACACCCTAATTTTGGACTTCTAGCCTCCAGAACTGTAAAAGAATAAATTTCTCATTTCAAGCCATTAAGTTTGTGGTACTTTGTTACAGCAGCCCTAGGAAATTAACACAGGCATCCCACATGACATAAAACTTCAGAATAGTATTGTAATAAGGCTCCAAAATAGAACTCCCCTAATATTGTCATTATTTTTAGTTTGAAAAATTGTATTATAAAACCTGGGCTTAAATTATTATACATAATTGAAAAGAAATACTTACTTTTCTAGTCAAAGAAAGTAGTATGGCATCCATGAAAATTCTGAAACCTACATGCTCACCATGAGTCTTGATATAAACCTAAAAGATAATTGAATGTTTATTATAGTTAAAAAGTCCTGGCAGGCTGAAGTAAAGCTTATTATATTGATGCTCAGAATGATATTTATTAAAAACTATGTAGCTAGTTGTAGCCAAGTGGTCAAAACAAAAAGTCACGAGGACAAACATGCAAATCTCAATCACAAATTGTACCTTGTTATCCTTCAAGGTATAGTGACACAGGCTCTGCCTTTGTCCAAATCTCTCTGGGATTTCTACTGCAATCTTTTCTGGATCAACAGTAGGGAAATGTGCCAGATCTCTCTGAATCTGAGCGATGGTTTCTGGGCAGCTCATCTCCCGTAGCCAGGCTGCACTATCTTCCAAAGGACAGTTACAATTCTCATGGTAAACTGGCCCTAATTATACACAAGCAACAAATAATACAGTAATAATTTCACTCAGCATTTGAAACATGTAACTGATCTTCATAATATGGCTTTACAAATTTTGCCTGGGTTATCATGAAGAGTATTTTGATGAAAACAATTTTTAAAGAAAAACATTTTTATCACATTGGGGCATCACATCACTAGTAATAATCTTCTGTTCTGAAAGCTCTTCACAGTAAGGCTGTGATATTTTCAGTTAGGCCCACTTTGCTTGAGTTCAAAAGAAAGCCAATGGGTATTACTTTTTGTTCACAGTAGCTATTATAGACCATCATTCTTTATGTTCTCTGTACTTAAAAATAACCAAACACTGGTAAAAAAAAGATATGAAAGGAGTATACCTGTTTTAATCAAAGACAAAAGTGATATGAAATTAGTATTTCAATGATATCCTATACAAAGTTTCTTAAAATGTCTAAGGTAGGTTCAGTGGATTGAGCTCCAGCCTGTAAACCTACCTCTCTCTCTAAAAGTAAATAAGAATAAAATCTTTAAAAAATTAAAAAAGAGAAGGGGACTTCCGCCAAGATGGAGACGTAGATGGAGGATCCACCTCGCCTCTGTGCACAACCAAATCTAAGAACAACTATTTTTAACAGCAGTCACAACCAAGCCACACGGAAAATCGACAATACGGAGTCCAAAGGACAACTAGATACTCGGCTGGACCGGTACGAGGAGCGAGGCCAGCAGCGGAGCAGGTTAGCAAGAAAAAAATTCCCGGGGCGGTGCGCGCGCACAGGCAACCGAGGGCACTGATCGCCAGCCAGCTGGCTGCCGGAGCGCACAGGGAAAAGGCGCGGCGATCAGTCAGTCGGGCGCGCATTTACGTGGGGAGAAGCCAGTGAGAAGGGAAGCCGGCGCAGGGCAGCAGGCTCGCACAATTCCGATCGGATAAACCCCAAGCGTGCGGAGTGACTGGAAACGCTGGGCTAGCGGAGAGGAACGCCATTGCTCCCTCTCTGACCCCGCCCCCACACACAGCGTCACAAACCAGCGACCTGGGTCGCCCCATCCTGGTAAACAACTAAGGCTTTGCTCCGCTCACTTAATAGCGCGAACAGACCAAAAATGGCTCTAGGACAACTCAGAGCCCCAGAACCGATAGACCTAAGTGATGAAGAAATAGCCAGTCTTTCAGATGCACAGTTCAAAACACTGGTTATAAGGATCCTTACAGAACTGGTTGACTTTAGCCACAAATTAGAGAAACATATGGAAGCTAAATTAATTGAAATGAATGGGGATACAAAAGATTCCAATAGTAATGGAAAGAAAATTGGGACTCAAATCAAGGGAGAGAACCAGAAGGAAGAAAAAAATGATCAAAAAGAAAGGAATGAAGAAATAAGAATTCAGAAAAATGAGGAGAAGATTAGGAACCTCCAGGACATCTTTAAACGTTCCAACATCCGAATTATAGGGGTACCAGAAGGGGGGAAAGGCACAACCACCAGTTGAAAAATTATTTGAACAAATAACAAAGGAGAATTTCCCCAAGATGGCAAAGGAAATAGACTTCCGAGAAATCCAGGAAGCTCAGAGAGTCCCAAAGAAGTTGGACTCAAGAAGGAACACACCAAGGCACATCATAATTACATTAGCCAAGATTAAAATGAAGGAGAGAATCTTAGAAGCAGCAAGAGCTAAGGGGACAGTCACCTACAAAGGAGTTCCCATCAGACTGTCAGCTGATTTCTCAAAAGAGACCTTACAGGCAAGAAGGGGCTGGAAAGAGGTATTCCAAGTCATGAAAACCAAAGATCTACAACCAAGATTGCTCTACCCAGCAAAACTTTCATTTAGAATGGAAGGACAGATAAAGTGCTTCTCAGATAAGACCAAACTCAAGGAGTTCATCATCACCAAGCCCTTATTATATGAAATGTTAAAGGGACTTACCTAAGAAAAAGAAGATAAAAAAGATGAACAGTGAAAGGACAGCAAACTCACAGTTATTAAGAACCACACCTAAAACAAAAGCAAACTAAGAGGATAGCTAGATCAGGAGCAGAACCATAGAAATGAAGATCTCAGGGAGGGTTAGCAATAGGGGAGTGGGAGGAGGGGAAGGGGGGAGAAGGTACAGAAAATAAGTAGCATAGACAGTAGATAGAAAATACATAGGGGGAGGGTAAGAATAGTAGGGGGAAATACAGAATCTAAAGAAATTGAGACACATGTTCATGAACTAAAGGGGGAAATGGTGGGGGAGGGGTATGCAGGGTGGAGGGGAAGGGAGGGGGGAATAGAGCAAATGTAATGGCATAATCAATAAAAAAAATAATAAAAAAAATAAAAAAAAATTAAAAAAGAGTTGATCAGACAGCAAAAAAAAAAAAAAATGTCTAAGGTATTTTCCTCAATGGCTAAATCATCAATTAACAATATAAGTAAACTAAGAACCCCTATTATGCTTATTACTTTTTCAAGAATTATTAAAAATGAGTTAATCTTCAAAATAGTTCATTAATAGTGTAATAAATTAATTATACATTTATAGAAATAATTGTAACACAATATAGCAGAATCTGAATTGAGATTTGATTGTCACTCCTCTCCTGTAACTCTCAGATTCCTATCTTCCCAGGCAGTAGTCGGCAGAGGAATATTTTTTTTAAGATTTGGCAGGTTACATTATACCATGCGGTCCTGGAATAATGTGGGAAAGGAACCTAGACACTTATTAAAACATTTGCCTTTCTTGGAGGTGGGGAACAAGAAAAATTTGTGCCTCTGTATATACACTGCCTTTCTGCTGTTTTAAGTTACTATCTCCACTGAGATGGAAGGATATGGCTCTAAGTAAAGCAGCTGCACTCTCATTCTATCCATATACTTCTATTTATATATGTATAAAACTCTGTTCATATAGGTATAAAAATCAGAGAATTTTTCTGGAAAAATAATATTGGAACAAAGACAAAAAGAAATAAAAAAGAACAAACCAACAGTCAACTTTCCCCCTTTGCTTCAAGCCCTTCTCTTTCTGAAGTAATCAAATTTCAATAACACTTATCAGTTACTTGTCATATACTTCCAATTAAGTGTCATCTATGACCATATTGTATACAGCTGGATTATTCTTGCTAATGTTGTGTCTTGAGGGAGCAAATTCTCTATTTATATGTTCTTTCCTCTTTGGTGAACTATAATTGCCATTCAAGTCTTGCATTTCTCTCCAGGGTTCTCATTTTAGTTTTCAAGTAGGAAGTAGAAAATGCCTATTTTTTTCAGTAAAAAAAAATGATGTTACCTTGTTTTTATTGATTAAATGACACATCGTTGTATTCAAGTAGTTTTTAAAAAATTATGTTCCAAATTACCTTTTAAAATATATGGAGATCTGGCCACATGTTGACCTTGGAATTTAACTTCTACCTTCATATTTTTGTAGCTTGCATACATTCTATATCTGACTATGAAGGACCCATCCTTTCGGTCTAAAACCTGGACTCCAACTCTAGTGAATTGCTCATCTGGTGCCGAGATTTTAATCTGGAATACCTTTTCACCTGGAGAAGATGTGAACCTATGATGGGAAGAATAGGATACAAAGATTATTTTAAGGAACAAATGCACAAAGATTATGCTTTCCAATCTACAAACCTCACACTTCTCCTCCACGTTTTCCCCCTAACATACTCTTATCTTCTCTCTTATACTTTTAGTACCAGAATGAATATGATGGATTAGAGGTTTTTTATTTTTAAAAAAGCAGAGGATGACAATGGCCAAGATAACATAAAACAGTTTCATTAGAAAATTGGATTATGTTAACACAAGTAATCTATGTAAACACAGAACACCTGTATGCATTTCATGTATACAAATATTCTTATCAACCTACTATTTATTTCATGCCCATCACTGGAAATTTGTGATCAAATTGTGCCAGCAGAGATCTTTTGAAAAAAAAATCTCTCTCAATGATTCTTTTACATATTAGTATTATAAACCATGCCCAGCATGGACAAAAGCCAGTTGGTAGTGTATCATCTAAGTGACACTGTATGAAAGTTCTTTTGAGTGAGTGCTCTTGCTGTTAAGATTGTATTTAGTTTTTCCAATTGTATTATTTATAACCTGTATTTTTGCAATGAAAAACTTATTCTCAATTTTTTCCTACAAAATATATATGTCAGCAATAAAAAAGGACAATCATTTCAGAAGTATGTGAGTTCTAGAAATACGTTTTGGATATAATTTCAGTTGTTAAATTAAATGGAGTGAAATAAATGTTTGTTGCAGACATATAGGAGAGCCATACTGTGATACTGTCCCTTTAAACTCTGAATAGTGCTTAATTTTCCTTTTTGAGTTTCAAAGTGTGTTTACTTGCAGATGTCTACCTGGAAACAGGGTAACACCAGAGAAAGAAACCAAGTTTCTAACAACTGGACTTAAATTCCTTACAACAGCTTATGCAAAAGTAGTGAGAATTAGTACTTCCAGAAAAGTGTAGGGGCTTTGTATCTCTAGCCATGTGGGAATCCCTATGAATAAAGCTAGGAGAAGAGCTAATTCGGAATTACTTCTAAAGATATGAGAAAGATTGCTGGGACGCACAAAGATAGTTACAACCAGATGTGGCTAGCTCATGTTGGGCGGATAGAACTTGAAGGAAGAAACGTAAACTTTAACTGCATTCCGAAATAGTTAGGCGGCTGTTTCTCAACTTACTTATTTCCTGACGTATCCACCGCCTGAATATAGAAATATCGCGCAGGAAGGACAACAGCTGCTTTTAGCCCTGGTCCCCATATTTCACTCTTCTCAGGGCTCAGTCGCCTCTCTCCGCCGGTCTCGGCAAATGCTGGAACTGTCCCCAGAAAGAAGTAGTAAAGCAGCAAAATGCTAAACATTTACAAGACGGACTACCAAAACGATCAACGGATAATGAGACGTAGGAGGTGAACGAAACGAGCCGTGGTTTTGGTAGGAGCAGCAGCAAATCGGCTCCAAGAGGTGTCACTTGCTGTGCAAAGCAGGCGCTCTGGTTTCCACTTTTCCAGGAAAATCACAACCCGAGAGCGGACTTGTACAGCTGAAAAATGCCAGTCGTTCTGCCGAAATTGGCAAGAACCACTCTGCTCCTCTTTCTCAGGACAATCATAAACTTGCCGTCTTTCTGGCAACTGGAGCATCACTGGGGAATGAAGCCGTCTCAGGTTCCAGCTCAAGGTGCCGGGCAAAGAGATTGGCCCGGCACAGCGGACCTGGCTGAGTAAGGCTTTCTCCTAGTGGGCGCAGCAGTGGACACGCGTCCCCGCGCCACGGCTTCCTGGGAGATGTAGTTCACGACAGGACTAGCGGAAATCCTGCCAGGTTTTACCATCACTCATTTATTTACTTTGCGGTAGCCGATTTCAGAGGACAGATAAATACTAAATGTCCAATGAAAGGCCACGTGGGTCTGGAGGCACAGTTAAGATTTTTTCCTTTAAATTGTCACCATATCTTCCGAATGTGCAGAGGTCAGGAATAAAACTTGATGAAAGGAAGCCGTCAATGGTATCTGACGACTGGTCTCCGGGCACAGCAGTCCGGGGCTCAGTTCCCTGACTCTTCAATGGGACGAGAGCCGCAAGCTCCAGGATAACCGGAAAAGCTTCGTAGACCGCTGTACTGTGATGCGGACACAGCAGAGTTTCCCTGCGGCCGCTGCGACCTGACTCCACCCGACAGGCTAGAGGTATTCCCGGCTGCGGGAAGAACGTAGTGGCGGCCTGCGCCTGTGCGCTCTGCGCCCTGGGTCTTGGGTTAGGCCCTTGGGCACCGCGGACTCGCCTGGTGCGGCCCACCAGTTCTAGGCGCCGTCAGCGCGGCCTGGGCTGCCAGAGGCCGTGGTCTCTCCGGAGCCCCTTGGCCATCGGAGTGGAGGCCACTGAGTCAGTGCTCATTCTTCAGGGAAAAAGTGGGGTGGCGAGCTGGGCCGCTGGATGGAGGAAAATGCTAGGGAGGCAAGGAACGAGTTCTCTCGGGAACAAAGCCTGATTTGGCGGGGCTGGCTGTAGCTAATACCTGTGGCCCGTCCCCCAGTCACGTTCGGCAGGGCTCCGGTCCCGAGCGCGCGTTGGCCATCCCCTCGCCCCTGCACGCCCACCACAAGTCCAAGATGGTCACCAGGAGGAGGAAGCCCTGGTCGACCCCGGAGCCTTCTCCTTTTCCTTTTCCTCCCTCCTAGCTGTCCCGAAATCCTCCACCCAAATCAGGCCTCGGAGTGTAGGCCATGGCGGGGATTTCCTTTTTACTTTTTTGCATTTGTTACTAGTAATGATATTTCCTCGTGCATTCCAAAGCATTCCAGAGTAGGGGGATCTGAGACAACAGGCCAAGTCCCACCCACCCAAACGCCTAGAGCACCCAGAGACTCCTTGGGAGGGAAGGAGCCTCTGCCCATTCCGCCTTGGCGACACATTCCGGCTTCCCGCAGCGGACTGAGGGTGGGAGGTGGGGCCAGGAGGCCTGCTTTAGTAGAAGGAACCAGATGCTGGGCCTTCCGGACCCGGACCGTACGTGGGCTGGGGAAGTAGGCTCCTGAGGGGCACGGGAAAGGAGCGCAGCTTTTTCCTTTGGGCGGGTGCTGCCTCGGCACAAACCAGCTCCGCTACGGGACTCTGCGTCCCTCCTCCCAGGGCGCTGAGAGCTTACCGGAGAAGGGCGCTGGGCACTCCGCTCGCCTTCCCAGGGAGCCTGGGCCCGATGCTAGCTGGTACGCGGGAAGACACCCGGTATCTGTAGTGGGCCGGCCTCTGCCGGGCACGGGGTTCAAGTGTAATCGAGGAAGAGAGGCTGGGGCCAGGGGTGGGGGCGGGGGGTGGGGGGAAGAGCTGGGAGAGCAGGGGAAAGGGTCGGAGTGTGTGGACTCGATTCCACCCTTAATAAGTCTCTTACCTGCCTCTGTCTCTGGTTTTCCTTACAGTTGTCATATGTGGAAAGCTTTTCTGAAAAGACTAAGACGTTTAGGTCTGTGAGCAAGCTTGATTGTTAAAAATATTGATTTAAAATATAATTGGAAAAGAATGTAACCTAGGCAGTGAGTATTCTTTCAAATGGAACATATTTAGTTTGCAAAATAGTTCAAATCATTATTGTAGCGGTGCATTTAGAGCTCGCTATTTTATGCAATTTTGTTGGCACACAAGTAAACAGTACTTTTGTTGTTTATGCCATGATCTTATGAGTAAATGCTTTATTTGAGTGTTACATCCTGCAATCATTCTTATTCGTAAATGTTAATATAGCATCGACTCATTTGGATGGATTAGGGAACTTTGATTTTCAAAGGTGAGAAATATGTAGGAAAAGAAGAGGTCCCTTGGCTTCAACTCCAGCTCTTGATCAGTGAGGCCATTCCTGGTAAGACCTCCTGGAATCTAGGCTCTTAAGCCAGGGTTTACAGTAATGCCTGCCATGGTGTAGGCATTTAAAAAGAAGTATCTGTAGATGGTACTTCTACAAATGCTGGGTCTTGGGAATACAATACTCAGGAATATAAGACTTGCAAAAAGCAGACATTCATTATATAAACCCAAATGTATAAATGTAAAATTGCACCCTGGCAAAGACCTGTGAAAGAAAAGTACTTGAGCATATACCACATACAGGGTGACAGGGAATATTCTGAAGAGCAAAGAAATCATCCCTCCCAGAAAGTGACATTTGAAGGATATTAGGAGGATAAATGGAAATTAACTAAACAAAGGAGGGTTATTGAGAATAAATAACGTTCAGAAAATGGAAAGTTGTTCAGTATGGAGAGAGTGCAGAGAGGAAGGGAGAGAGGGAGCATGATCAAATCAGGAACTGGCTTTTGTTTCTAACAGTAGAGTGTTTTAGGCAGAGGAGTTTTATGATACACATTTTAATTTCTACTATCTATGCACAGTTCATATTACAAATGCCAACTCATGAGGGTGGTGGGGGCTAGGAACAGAAATGACATTGAGAATGATTTATAAAAATAGGGACAAAAGCAGATACAAGGTATGAGAAAACTGAAAGCTGCGGGCTATGTAGTGGAGGTACAAATTGCCTCTCTGTATGTCACTATTTCCCAAGGCTGTAATTACAATAGAATACAATAATTGGCATCTATGATGCCTCTGTTATAATAACTTGTGCTTAGTTCACTTGTTTGAAAGCCTGAGGACACAATAATACATGGTAAAATCTATAAATATTACAGTTTTTCAAAGACAAATTTCTATAAGCAGCAGTTCAGTGAGAAAGTTTGCAAACCACTCTAAATTTATTCTTGGCTTTTATTGATGATTAGTATAAAATATGCTTTTATGTTGATGATCTTTGCTATTTATTGGTAAAAGTGAAACCAAAGGCATCATTTTTCATCATTGATCACTATTTAAAAGCAATCCAACCCAAAACACAAACGACAAAACTAGACTCTTGAATTTTTTATTAATCAATTGCTATGGTCTTTCTTGTCTTTAGCTTCTGGAAGTTCAGCCCCTTTTACATGCATATGTAGTAATTTCCCTTTGTATATGTTTTCAATATGTATATTCTATGTAGGTTCCAAATCAGCATCTTTCATAGAATCAATCCCAACATTGCCACACAAGGAGCTGGTCCCACAGGTAAAATTCCATTCAGTCTGAGGAATGAAGCTCTGGCAAAATGGAAGCTATGCTTGAGATGAATAGATAACAAAAGCAGCACCTACAACATTTCTGTCTTCTCCACCAGACCAACTTCTGCACCTTTTGCTAATTGTGCTTTATCCTGACCATATGCTTCTCCCTTTCATGCCTCATTCTACTACAACCCACCCACACAACCCCAGTGCTACAAATAATATCTATCTCCACATTATGGCTTTTAGAGAAAGGTATGAGGATTAGAGGTAAAGAGTAGAAAATGCTGTTCTAGGACATGTAGTAAGAGTTAGAGAAACCAACTTCTCAGAAAATTAGAGTTTGGTCTGTACAACTTCAGGTACTTCTCTTTCATCTTTCTCTAGTGTCAACATCATGCCAGGAGATGAGGAAAAAGGAGAGAGAAAGCATAACTGATTGCTGTCTAGAGATCCACTACACCTATTCCTAGGATTTCATGGTAAAAAAAAAGTAAAGTTTTGAAACCATCAAAGGTTTCATCTTTGTTGCTGAAGCTGCTGCCAAACAGACCCTCCTACAATTAACTATAAACTGTACAAATTACATCAAGGTTTAAATAGAGGGCATTTAAGCATTCATTAAAAATAAAGAAAATGGAATTTTTCTAGGATATGTAGAGTCCTCCTGGTATGGGTGTCTGTTTCCTTAAATTACATGGAGGACATGCAGTACCTTCATTAATTTCTCCTCACAAACTCAGGACAATCAGCTCTTTTGCTTATCATCTTAGTCATAGGTTTTGTCATTTAGTATTTGTATGATGGATTTTATATAGTAATTTTCCTGTAATCTGTGAATGTTATTTTAATTTCTAATTTTTTAAGTAAGGAAATAGGCAGAGATGTTAGTAAATGTCTAACTGGTGTCCAGTTTGTTGCTCCTTCACTAAAGTCTTGTGAAGTGGGCATGCTCTGCTTTGGCATTTACATCAGGTTTCCTCCTACACCAGCTGTAATGGTTTCATTCACTCAGATCTTCCTTTGGTATAAATTTCCAGCTTCCTTGATGCTCTCAGTTGCTATTTAAACTTTTCTCCCTTCTCTTCCCTAAAAGAATCAGTGTGGACTTGAAATTTATTTTTTCCCGAGACTGATCAGAAGTTGGTGACCACATGGATTTGACCTTTTTTTTTTTTCAGTTGACATATACTGAAAAATTTTTAATTCTGGGAAGATCCAATATAGCAGTAGAGTAGGTGGGTATTATACTCATCTCCTCCCAGGACCAAACTGGAATTATGACTAAAATATAGAGCAATCAACCTTAATAACCAACTGACGACTAACCAAAGAGAAGCCTTATAACCCAGAATTTATAGAAGAAGCCACATCGAGTCTGGCTGGAAGATGAGAAAAAGGCTGGCCCCACTCCCATGAAAAGCAACTGAGGTTCTGGAGGGATATCTCAGCTGGAAAGCTTCCCCCCTGGGAAGCATTCAGTCTCAACCTCAAGCTGGGCTCCCCAACCCACAGCACCAGAGCCAGGAAGAAGCTACCACATAACATTTGGTTGTGAAAATCAGCAGGGATTCTGTCTGCCAGGGAGAGATAGAAGTCTGCTAGAAACACTGTTGCCCTCTTCGAGGGCCAACACGAAAAAGCTTGTTCACAGCCACTCATCTTGGATTTCAGCAAAGAGATGGTAGAGTGGACTAAAGTTGCGTGGAGAGACTGGGTTTTGTGGCTCTGGTGAGGGAGCTGAAGCGATAGCCACCAGGATGCCTGTGCTGGGTGACTTCTACACTACAGACACAGTCTTTCGTGGATGGAGCGTTCCCCTCCATACAGCATCTGCCTGGGGGAAAGAAAAAAACCCACTCTCTGGACACCCTGTAATTCCATCCTGCAGAGCTTGCACCCTGCTGAGAAGTTAGCTACCTGAACTAGGGTATAGAGGTCTGGGCAGACTCAGGGGGTATTGGTGACTGAGTTTGGTAGTTTTGGAGCTGGGGGGCCATTCCTACCACTTTCCCTGGAACCTAATTGGTGCCTTCCTCTCACAGGAGATTTGCTAGCCTCATCCTTCTGACTTCTGGCAGCTCTACCCTGACAACATCAGGCTCCTGGTGTAATTTGGGACAGTCTAAGTTATGTGGCTCTAGGACAGGGGCCATTTTTCGCTTGCATACCCAAACAATGCAGGACCTTGGTCTCTGCCTTCTAAGCCTTCAAACAGCCAAATCTTGGTCTGTTTGGGCCGCATAATCTCTGCTGGCCTCATTCTGATGACTCCTTGAGACCCTGTCCCACCACAAAGGTCTGCAAATACCCAGTGGGTGGCAGTTAGACTTATATATCCTTGATGTGACATTAGCTGAGTGGCCTCACACCCAACCAAGATTGAACCTGTTTTGATCTGGTGAACACTACTCACCTCTACCTGGTGACGCTCTGAAAACCTATCTCATGCAACTTCAGTTCCTCCAAAGGCTCTTTCAGTGACTCAGTCTAACAGGCAGCTGGAAGGCAGAAGCTGGTAGAGGTGGATTTTTGGGTACCTTGAGACTTTTGCTGACCTGGCCCTGGACCTGGTGCTCGTAAAAGCTGGTCGTAATGTGCAGCTTAGTCCATCCTGAGAACACCCAGGCTCAGCAGAGGCAGCCACAAACTGTGGGCCACTTTGTAGCTCCAAATAGGTTGTCCAGGGCCAGTCACAGGCAGTGTCTGACATTGGCATAAACCAGAGTAGCTCCAAAGAGGCCTCAGAAATAACACCAAGTAGCCATCTTCAGATAACATCAGAGCAGGATACAATTAGTTTCACAAACAGCATATCCAAAGGGAGATCTTAGCAGGCACTAAGCATGACTGAGGTGAATTCTGCTTTATATGGTCAGCACCTGCATAACAGATTGTACACTGAGGTACAGATCGATTCTCACAGTAGGCAAGGCTGAGGGTTTACCCAATGCACAGATAGGCCAATAGAAATCAAGACTCAATTACAAAAGGAGGGCCCACATAGCCCACAAGAAGGACATTCCTAGAGCACCCAGGTCAGGTAATCAAGGAGACTGCCACTGGGTTCCACAGGACACCTACTGCATAAGGCCATTATATCAAGAGTAGGAGCCATAGCAGATCTACTTAATACATAGAAACAAAGACAGGGAGGCACCCAAAATAGGGAGACAAAAAATATGCCCCAAATGAAAGAACAGGAGAAAACTCCAGAAAAAGAGCTAAATGAAATGAAGGCAAGCAATTTACCTGATACAGAGTTTAAAAAAAATGTTTATAAGGATGCTTAAGGAACTTATTAAGAACTTCACCAGAGAGAAATCAAGCATAAAGGACATAGAAACAATAAAAAATAAATATCCAGAAATGAATACAATATCTGAAGTGAAAAATACATTAGAAGGAATAGACAGTAGGTTTCTTGAAGCAAAGGATTAAATCAGTGATTTGGAAGACAAAGTAATGGAAAACATAGTACCAGAGCAGCAAAAAAAAAAAAAGAAAGAAAAAGAGATAGTTTAAGGGACCTTTGAAACAGCACACAGCATAACAACATCTGCATTATAGCAATACTAGAAGAGAGAGCAAGGAATTGAGAACCTATTTGAAGAAATAATGACCAAAAACTTCAGTACCTGGTGAAGAAAAAAGTCACGGAAGTCCAGGGAGTGCAGAGTCTAAAAAAAGATGGATACAAAGATGCCCACACCAAGACACACCATAATTAAAACGAATTAAAATGGGAAAGGTTAAAGGAAAAGATACTCTTAAAAGCATTAAGAGAAAGACAGTTACCTATAAGGGAGCTCCCATACTAGTGACACCTGATTTCCTAACAGAAACATTTCAGGCCAGAAGGCAGTGGCGTGAATATTCAAAATAATGAGAAGCAAGAACCTACAACCAAGACTACTTTATCCTGCAAGGCTATAATTTAAAATTGAAGAAGTAAAAGTGGCTTTCCAGATAAGAAAAAGCCAAAGGAATTCATTACCACTAAATCAGTATTGTGAAAAATGTTAAAGAGCCTTCTTGAAGAAGAAGAAGAAGGTGAAGGAGAAGGAGAAAACAAGAACATAGTGAAGAGTAAAATGGCAATGAATACATACTTATCAATAATCACTTTAACTGTAAATTACTTAAATGCTCCAATCAAAAGACACTGGGTAGCAGAATGGATAAGAAAACAAGACCCCTATATATGCTATGTACAAGAACCTACCTTAGAATAAAATACATACTAAAAGTAAAGGGATGGAGAAAGATATGCAAATGGAAAAGAAAAAAAACTGGTGTAGCAATTCTTGTGACAACAAAATAGACTACATCTAAGGCTATAATAAGAGACAAAGAAGGACATTGCATAATGATAAAGGGAGCAATCCAACAAGAGGATATAACCCTTGTAAACATCTATGTGCCCAACATAGGAGCACCTAAATATATAAAGCAAGTCTTGATGGACATAAAGGAAGAGATCGACATAATACAGTCATAGTAGAGAATTTTAACACCCCATTAACATCAATGGGTAGATCTTCCAGGTAGAAAATCAGTAAGAAAATAACAGCCTTAAATGACTCACTAGATTGGATGGATTTAATTAATATCTTCAGAGCAATTCACCCTAAAGCAGCAGAATATACATTCTTTTTAATTGCACATGGAACATATTCTTGGATAGACCACACATTAGGCCACAAAATAAGGTTCAGTAAATTTAAGAAGATTGAAATCTAATCAAGCATGTCCTCTGAACAGAATGGTGTCAAACAGGACTTCGATCACAAGAAAAAAACCTGAAAAACACAGAAAGGCATGGAGGCTAAAATGCATGTTTCTAAACAATGAATTGGTTAACAGTGAGATCAAAAAAGAAATCGAAAGATCTTGTACTTTGCAACAAACAATGAGACAAAACAACCCCAAATCTATGGGACATAGTGAGAGTAGTACTTAGAGGGAATTTTATATGTTTAGGATCTACCTCAAGAAACAAGAAACATCTCAAATAAACAATCTAACATTCCACTTAAAGGTACTAGAGAAAGAGAAACAAACAAAACCTAAAGTGAGTAGAGGAAAGGAAATAATAAAGATCACTGCAGACATAAACAATGCCTAAAAAACAATACCAAGATCGATGAAACCAAGAGTTGTTTTTTTTTTGAAAAGAAAACCTAGATTGACAAACCTTAGCCAGACTAAAGAAAAAAAGAAGACTAAAATAAGTAAAATCAGAATTGAAAGGGGTGAGGTAAAACTGACACCACAGAAATACAAAGGGTTGTAAGAATAATTATGAATAGGTTTATGCCAAGAAATTGGACAATCTGAATGAAATGGATAAATTCCTAGAAACATACAATCTTATAACTGAATCAGGAAGATTCAGAAAATCTGAATAGACAAACTTCAACTAATTATATTGAAGCAGTAATCAAAATACTCCCAACACAAAAGTCCTGGATCAGATGACTTCATAGGTGAATTTTATCAAACATTCAAATAACACCTATCCTGAAACTACTAAAAAAATTCAAGAGGAGGACAGTATCTCAAGCCCATTTTACAAGGCTAGAATTATCTTAATTCCAAAACCAGATAAAGACATTCCAAAGAAAGAAATTATATGCCAATATCCCTGATGAACACAGATGCTAAAATCCTCAACAAAATATTAGCCAACTGAATCCAGTAATACATTAAAAAGATCATACACCATGATCAAAGGGGATATATTCCTGGGTTGCAAGGTTGGTACAATATTTGCAAATTGATAAGTGTGACACATCACAAAAACAACATGAAGGATAAATACCAAATGGTCATATCAGTAGATGTATAAAAAGCCTTTGATAAAATCTAGCACCATTTTGTGATGAAAACTCTCAGCAGTGTGGGAATACAGGCAATATACCTCAACATAATAAAGGCCTTATATGACAAACCCACAGCCACCATCATACTCAATGGGCAAAAACTACAAGCATTTCCCTTCAGATTGGGAACAAGGGAGGAATATCCTCTTTCACCACTCTTAGTCAACGTAGAACTAGCCACAGCAATTAGATAAGAAAAAGAAAAGGCATCCATACTGGAAAGGAAGAATTAAAACTGTCATTATTTGCACATGACATGATACTGTATATTCAAAATCCTAAAGATTCCACTAAAAAACTACTAGTACTCAAATAAGTACAGTAAAGGAGCAGGATATAAAATAAATATCCAGAAATCAGTTGCATTTTTATATACCAATAATGAACTATCAGAAAGAACTGAGAAAACAATCCTATTTAAAATGCCATAAAAATACTTAAAATAAATGTAACCAAGGATATAAAATACCTGTAGTTGGAAAATTATAATACACCAAAGAAACAAACCAAAGAAGCTACAAATAAGTGGAAGCATATAACATGTTCATGGATAGGAAAACTTAACATTATTAAAATGTGTATACTACCCAAAGTAATTTATGAATTCAGCACATTTTTTTATCATGATACCAAGGATGTATTTTACAGAAATAGAAAAATATTCAAAAAATTTAAATGGAACCACAACATACCCTGAATAGCTATAGCCATCTTGAGAAAGAAAAGCAAAGTTAGAGGAATCATGCTACCTAATATCAAAGTATAATACAAGATGTAGTATTCAAAACAGCATGGTATTGCCATAAAAACAGACATATAGATTTATGGAACAGAATAGAGATTTTAGCAATAAATCCTCACATTTATGGTCAATTAGTATTAGATCAAGGAGGCAAAAACACACATTAGGGTAAAGACAGTCTACCCAATAAATGGTATTGGAAAAATTAGACATATACCTGCAAAAAATGAAACTAGACCACTTTCTTACGGCATACACAAGAATGAACTCAAAGTGGATTAGAGACTTAAATATTTGACTGAAAACCATAAAAATCCTAGAAGAAAACATAGGCAGTAAAATCTCAAGACATTTTTGTAGCAATGTTCTTTTATAATATATCTCCTTAGGCAAGGGAAACAAAAGAAAAAATAAACAAATGGGACTGCAACTAACTAAAAAGCTTTTGTACACCAAAAACAACCATCAACAGAATGAATAGGGAACCCCTGAATGATTGGATAACATTTTCACAAATGATACATCTGATAAGAGGTTAATAATCAAAATTTATAAAGGAGTAAATAACTCAACAAGCCCCCAAATACAATCCAATAAAAAAATGGACACAGGACCTGAATGGACAAAGAGGACATACAGGTGGTGCATAGATAAATGAAAAAAAGGCTCACCATCACTAGCCATCAGAGAGATGCAAATTAAAACCACAATGAGATATAACCTCACACATGTCAGAATGACTGTCATTGATAAACAGTAAGTTTTGGTGGGGATATGTAGAAAAGGGAACTCTTGTGCATTTTTGGTTGGAATGCAGATTTGTGCAACCACTAGGGAAAGCAGTATGGAGTTACCTCAGAAAATTAAAAATGGAACTGCCTTATGACCCAGGAATTCCACTTCTGGGAATATATCCAAAGAAATCCAAAACTAATTCAAAACAATGTATGCACCCCTATGTTTATTGCAACATTATTTACAATAGCTAAGATTTGGAAGCAAACCAAGTACCCATTAGAAGATGAGTGGATAAAAAAGCAGTGGTACGTTTACACAATGAAATAATAGATGGTTGTGAAAAAGAAGGAACTTAAATGCAACAGCATGGATGGACCTGGAGAGTATTATGCTAAATGAAATAAGCCAGTCATAGAAGGACAAGTACTATATGATTTCATTTTTTTGTGGAATCTAATGAACTAAATAAACTAACAAACAAAATAAAATCAGACTCATAATTACAGAGAACAAACTGACAGCTGCTAGAAGGGAGGGGTTTTGGGGAGCTGGGTGAAAAAGATGAAGGTATTAAGCAAAGAAAAAAGAAAACTCAAAGACACAGATAATAGTATTGTAAGTACCAGAGGGAATTGGGGGGGATGTAGAAGAGGGTATGGGGGATAAATGGTGATGGAAGGAGACTTGACTTGGAGTAGTGAACACTCAATACAATACACAGATTATGTATTACAGAATCATACAACTGAAACCTATATAATTTTATTAACCAATGTCACCCAATACATTCAATTAATTTTATTAACTGTCACCCAATAAATTCAATAAAAAATTTTAAAAGGACTAAAGGATGTAGTAAGAAATAAAAAATAAAATATCAAGACTGCTTCATTTAAGAATGTTTAATTCTGTCATTATTGTTGATTTAAGTACATGCTTATTATTCATAATGTATCCTTTATGCCTATAGGTTTTTTAAATAACTTTGCTAGTGCCTTATTTTTCTAGACAGCTTTAACAAGATACAATTCACAAATCATACACTTCAGCCATTTAAAATGTCCAATTATGTTGCTTTTTACTATATTTACAAAGGCATTAATCACCACAACAATTAAAGAATATTTTCCTCACTTCAAAAGAAACCTCATTACCCCCAACTTTTTCTTATCCTCCATCCCTGGGTAACCACTACTTTACTTTTTGTCTCTTGGAATGGATTTACTTATTGTGGACACTTCATATAAATGGAGTCATACAATCTTTGCTCCTTTGTGACTGGCTTCATTCACTTAGCATAACACTTTTAAGGTCCATCCATGTTGTAGCAAGGTTCATTACCTCATTTAGTTTTATTGCCTAATAATATTCCATAGTATAGATATGCTACATTTTACTCATTCATTAATTGATATATTCATATTGTTTTCACTCTTCGGCTATTATGAGTAATGCTGCTATGAACATTTGTGTATACATATGTTTTCACTTCATGGATATGTACCTAGTAGTGAAATTGCTGGATCATATGGTAAGTCTATCTAAATATTTAAAGAATTGTTTTCCAAAGTGACCAGACCATTTTGCACTTCCATTAGCAATGAATGAGGGTTCCAATTTCTCCACATCCTTGACAATCATTTTCTGTCTTTTTGATTATAGTCATACTTTTGGGTGTCAGGTGGTATCTCACTGTGGTTTTGATTTGCATTTTTGTGAGAGCTAATGATGCTGAGCTTGTACTTTCTGAACATTTCTATATTATATTTGGAAAAGTGAGTATTCATATACTTTGCAAATTTTTAATTGGGCCATTTGTCTTTTTAGTTACAATGCATTATTTTAAAATAATTTTTTAAATAGGAAAGATGGTCAATGATTATAACTGTAGGCATAAAGTAGTTGTAAAGTACTTACTGAATGAAAGCATATGACACTGGTACTTTTTTTAGGGATGTTTGTAGTGTCTCGTGGATTGTTGATCTCTCTCCTCCCTCTTTTCTTAGGAACCCATTTTGCAGCTCTCAAGTTTTTGTAGAATGCTGTAAACAGTTGTCACAGTTTTTCAAGAAACAGAGTTACAACTTCCTCCTCCCAATAGAACTTTTATAGTTCATTCAATGCCTGACATTGCAGAAGCAGAAAGGGCACATGATTCTGGAAATGGTGAGCACAAATCTGAGAGAAAGTCTCCTGATGAGAAACTACAAGATGCTGTACAGTCTTTCTGCACACGTGCCTCAGGGGCACCCTTGGGTCCCAAAGGAGATGGTCATTATCCATGGAGCTGTCCAGTGACCCATACTCAGGAGAAAATTTATGCCATCTGTTCAGACTATGCCTTTCTCAACCAGGCAACCTCAGTCTATAAAACTCCAAATCCATCCCACTCTTCTTGCCTCCCTAATAGTACCTCTCTATCTGCTGGAAATAATTCATCAAGATACATTAGTGTCCCTACTAGTACATCAGAGATCATCTACAATGAGGAAAATAGCTTGGAAAACTTATCCAATAGTCTGGGCAAGCTACCTCTTGCATGGGAAATTGATAAATCTGAATTTGATGGGGCCACCACAAATCTGAAACACAAATCAGGTAAGGAAGGAGCCATGAAATTCACATTTGAAAATAATAAGAAAACAATGTATCTTGTTTAGACTTGCCATTGAATAAATGTGTTTTTCTTTTATAATACTGAATAGAGAACATTGCTATCATCTTGTTTCATCATTACAGTTAAAAGATAAACTTGGACATGAGACATTAGGTTTATTAATGTGTTACTATGAGAAACTTTTGACATTACCCTTACATTGTGAGAGTTTTGAAACATCTATGATGCTGTAGAAACACAGGTATTACAGATAAGTACATGGTGACTTAGAAATGGTTAATGAGGTGGCTAGAATAACATACTACTATTTTATAATGATGCAGGGAGATGAATTCGTATGTCCCAATTAAATATCTAGTTTTCTTTTCTACCAGGTAATACTGAGATTTTTTAGTTGTTACAGTTTTTTGAGTACCCCACAGGGTCTCCATGTACCGCTGAGTGAGTTGTATACTACCCAATTTGGATGCTGTTCACCTAGGGAGTTGACCTCAGGTTCAGTGCCTCACAATTTCATTGTGGTAGTCCTCTGGCAGATACTCATGCTTTCACCTCTTTTTATTGAACTCACAGTAACAGGAATTTTATGAGATAGGTACTGTTATTCTCTTTTCACAGATAAAGAAACTGAGGCATAGAGGGGATAAGTTGCCTGCCCAGATTTGCACAGCTAGTTAAAAAGTAGTAGAACTAGGATTTGTATTTTACTTCTAGACTTCTCTGATCATTTTATAAAATCACCACTATACCCTTTCATTTGCAAAATCAACTTGTTTCATGGAATGTTCTGTAAATTTGTAATTTTCAGGGTGTCAGGGGATTTTACTTTTTGTCTATATTTATGAGTGATTGGCCTATACTTTTTAAATAATGTCTTTTCAGGTGTTGGAATTAGGGTTATGCAGATCTCCTAAGTTGGAAAATATATTCTCATGTTTTCTGAGGGCTATTAAAAAGCTCTAACTTTGATTGTTGTCTTAATTTCCATTCTATTGAATTTTATTTTGTCCATTTTATCTAAGTTGTTGATGTTGGCATAAAGTTGTTTGTAATAGTCCCTGTATACTTTTAAAGTCTGTATGGTCTTTTGTAATAAATTACTCTTTCACTCCTCAGCTAGTCATTTTTTTTCCTTGCTAGGGCTTTATTGGTTTTGTTCATCTTTTGAGGTAACCAACTTTTAGCCTTGTTAATTTTCTCAGTTGTTTTCTATTTCATTGATTTCTACTCCCTTACCCCCTTTGTTTTCCTTTGGGTTTACTTTGTTCTTCATTCTCTAACTTTTTAAGACATTTCTACTATAAGTACTTAATGTTATAAATTGCTCTCTAAGTATGTTTTACCTGTAGTTCACTCATTTTGATATATTTTGTTGTCATTTAATTTGAAGTACTTTCTAATTTCCCCTGTGATTTCTACTTTGATAATGCACTGTTTAGAAGTGTGCTTTATAATTTCTAGGTATTTTGGAGGTTTTCTAAATATTGATATCTAATTCAGTTCCATTGTGGACAGAGAACATATTATGTCAGTCTTTTTAAATTTAGCAACACTTGTTTTATGACTCAGTGTGTGGTCTATGTTGGTGAATGTACCAGGTACACTTAAAAAGAAGGTGCATTCTGTAGTTGTTAGGTGTAGTGTTCTACAAATATTTATGAAGTCAAAGTCTTTGAAAGTGTTGCTCACATGTCTGCCTCTCTACTTAATTTTTTGTCTTGTTCTACCAAATGCTGAAAATGGAGTGTTAAAAATCTCCAACTATGATTGTGGAATTGTCTTTTCTCCATTTAATTTTGTTTGCTTTTGTTATCATGTAACGTGAAGCTCTGTTTTTAGGTTCTCACACATTTATGACTTTTATTTCTCTTTGATGAATTGCCCTTTTATCATTAAGAAGTGTTCCTCATTATTTCTGGTAATATTTCTTGTTCTGAAAGCTACTTTGTTTGATATTTATATAGCTCAGCGATTTTCAAGCAGTGTGCTGCAAGAATTTTTAAAACATGTACTACCTGACTATTTAGTCAGAGGCACTGACTTATTTTCACTTAGATTATCAAATATAAAAATGATAATAGCCAATACAATAGCCACGCAATGTGAATCAAAATTAAACCTATTTTTTGTCAGATTGGCAAAAATATAGTTTTTGTTATGCCATAGTTTAGTAGTTAGTTTGTGTGTGCATGAGATGAAAAGGTTGAAAACTGCTGATAAAGCTAATCTAGCTTTATTTTGACTGATTTTTGCAGGGTACATCTTTTTCCATCCATTTATTTTCAAACTATATCTTTATATTTAAAGTATACCTCTTAAAGATAGCTGAGTATATTCAGTGAATTATTTCTGATATTGTTTATTTTAGTTCTAGAATTTATATTTTTAAATAGTATCTGTTTCATGTCTTGGATTTGCCATTTTTTCGTTTATTATGAGAGGATTTTTAAAAACATTATCTTTAGAGGGAAAGGGAAGGAGAGAAATATCAATGTATGGTTACTTCTCATGAGTCCCCTGCTGGGAACTGGCCTGCAACCCAGGCATGTGCCCTGACTGGGAATCGAACAGCGATCATGTGGTTCACAGGCCTGAGCTCAATCCACTGAGCTACACCAGCCAGGGCTTTATGAGAGGATTTTTATCTGTCTCATAAATCATAATTATAATCCCACTCTGAAATCCTTATTTGCCAATTTTAAAATCTGAGTTATCCCACAGTTGGGCTTTTTTTTTCTTGAGAACATGTCACTTTTTTTTTTTTTTTCAGTTTCCTCACATATTCACTAATTTTTAAAATTATTTCCTAAATATTCAGAATGTTATAGTATGGTGACTTGGGATTCTGGTATATTCCTCCAGAGTGTTTTTTTAAATTAATTAATTAATTTAGCAGCAGTTCATTTGGTTGGGCCAAATCAATTCTTTCTGTTGAGGGCATCTCAAATCTCAGTTCCATTTTTTTAGCCTTAGCTGTGCTGTTTGGGTTCTGCTTAGGATTTGGGTCAAATTTATACATAGAATTCAGGCTTCCCCTTATCTGGCTGTCTTTTTTCTGGTGTCCCCCCCCACCCCGTTTTTCAGTAATTGTGATTGTTCAGAATTCTGTACTGTGGTTCTTTAAGTCAAAAGATGGTGGGCATTCTATTTTCATTTACTGTCCTTATACCTTTCTTAAAAGCCGGCATTTATACAATATGTACGTATATTTGGTATGGGGACTTTATGAGTGTGTTGTGCACAGGGTGACTTATGGAAGCAGGAATATGGCGATGACAAGGGGCAATGGGCAGAGGTTACTGGATTGATGAGATGGGGGAGACCAAGAGTCTTCAGGCATCACTCTTTTATGTTCCACTCTCAAACTTAGGTTCTACTTTGACAGAGCTTTCTTGCTCAAATTGAATGCAGCTTTGTTGTAGGACCAGTTCTCTGTGTGAGATGTTATGAAGGATGTTCACTTGGAATATATATCCTTATTTATCCCCAGGGGCTCATGAGAGTAAGCTCAAAACAGAGAATAGAGAGAACACTTAGGTATGCATTAGAGGAAAGTGTGTCTGTATAGACCCACTTTGGGCTGCTCAGATCATGATTATTGTGCTTCATCAGCCTCTAAAATTTTGAGTGGCTGGGAAAACTATTTAGGGAATTAAGGCATTATTGGACAATGAAGACATCTCAAGAAATGGTGGGAAGTAGATTTTCCATTTTCTGGAGCTTTAAATATATTTATTATTAAAATAAATTTGTGATCATGAGTTTTTTTCTCATTTTTTCAAGCTCATGTTTGTCAGTAGTTGTTTAGCTCTGTGAGAAATTTTGTGTTCTCTGAACACTTAGAAAGAATAATCAGAAGGAAGAGGGTTGGTGATTTGTTTCTGGATATTATGGTGTTTGTTATTATGACATTTTAGAAAAATTAGAGAAATTTCCTGTATAAAAATAGTTTCTGAGTTGCAGCTGGTTTTGGGTGCCAAATGATTTCATTGTACAGCTACTTAAATGATAAAATGGATCCTTTTCCATGTTTGTTTCCTGGCCATGTATCTCTGTAATTTATGTTTCATAATTAATGAATAACTAAAATTAGCTTTTATGAAATTTTATAACAGATTTGATTATTTTTTAAAAATATGTGTGACATTATTGAAACATTTGAGCATAGCTATCTGAAATTTTAAGTGTATTTTAGTGAAATGAGAGTTACATGTTATTCATATTTTAATTTATGTAATTTTTGATTGAGTTATCCATTAGCATGGCTCAGAAATTAAAAGCATAAAAATTAAATATTATAAAGTCTAACTCTCATTTTTGTCTTCCTTTTGTCTATCTAGTTCTCAATTCCCCTTCCCCCATAGGTAACCACTCTTATTTGTCTTATGTGTCTTTGGAGAGAGAAAGAGAGAGACAGATAGAGAGTGAGGTAGAAGTGAAGTGAGAGAGGGAGGGAGGGAGGGAGGGAGGGAGGGACAGAGAACATACACACATAGTGAAAAGAAACGTTTTTTCCATTCTAGTTCTTAGTGCTAAAGCCTCATTTTAATAATGAAGATATGTGCATAATTTGTAATCCATTTTGTGGTCTCAGTAGGCCTAGAGATATTTTTAAACATCATATCATTGTATTATTGAGTGTATTGTTTTTACTTTTTAACAGAGTTCCATTAATGTGGTTTTATTATTTTATAGAAAGGATTCATTTTCTGGAAAGTCATTAGTTTATTATTTTACTGTTGGTAATTTGATTTTCTGAATTAAAGACTTTGTGATTCTTTTACTAGCTATGTGACTAGTTTAGGAATTGGAATATACAAATCTGATAGGAAATACCATTCCTGGTTGTTTAATTTTGTTATTTTCTCTCTTTAAGGTAGGAGAGAGGTAGGTAGATTTTTATATTTATCTTCACCTGAGGACATTTTTTATTGCTTTTAGAGAGAGAGAGAAAGAGAGTGAGAGAGAGAGAGAGAAGCATCCATTGGTTGCCTTTTCGTATGTAGCCCTACTGGGTATGGAAACCCCAACCTGGGTATGTGCCCTGACCCGGAATCGAACTTGTGACTTTTCAGTCTACAAAATGGTGTTCCAACCAACTGAGCTATACAGACCAGGGCGATGGGACAGTATTTTTTAACATACATATTTCTTCAATATGTTTGTGGATATTATTTTTAGGACTAGCAGCAGTTACTTTTTAATTTTGTCCCATAATTAATTTCATTGTCTTGGCAATTCACTTCATCTTAAGCATTTTGGTTATTTTATACTCTTATATTCTAGGCAATGTAAAGAAACAAATTTCCAAGAAAAAAACTTCAGATAAAAAAGGAAGACATCAAAGGGAGTGGCCTCAGTATTCTCCTCTTGAAGATATTAAGCAGCGGAAAGTATTAGACCTCAGACGATGGTAATTTCTAAATTTTTTTTTCTTCTTTAACCACAATACCATTGCTATACTTAATTCCTGGGTTAAATTTAGATTTCCCAGATTATTCTGAAAATGTTTTCACTCCTGGTTCTTCAAAGTGGGATCTAACTATGAACCATACTTTTTGTTTGCTCGTTGCAGTCCATATGTCTCTCTTAATCTAGAGAGACATATCCACCTCACTCTCCCCCATTTTAATTCTAGGACATTGATTTATTGAAGAGACTTGGCCAGATACCTTTTAAAAAAGATTTTATGTATTTATTTTTAGAGAGAAGGGAAGGGAGGGAAAAAGAGGGAGAGAAACATTGATGTAAGAGAGAAACATCGATTAATTGCCTCTCCTCTGCACCCCAACCTGGGACCAAAGTTGCAGCCCAGGCATGTGACCTGACTGGAAATCCATCTGGGGTGGCTATTTGCTTTGTGGGAGGATGCCCAACCAACTAACCCATACTGGTTAGGGTTTGGCCAGCTATCTTGTAGAATGTACTCTCTTCTGGATTTGTTTTTTTCCTATTAGTTGTATAAATTATTTATATGACCTCAGTATTTCCTGAAAACTGGAAGTTAGATATAAAGACTTGATTAGGTTCTGGTTTGGGCATTTTAGACAAGAATACTGCCTAAGTAATCCTGTGTGCTTCATGTTGTATCAAAATTGGAGGAGCATAGTATTTGGTCATCCAGCGTTAGAGATACTAAGAGTGATTACTAGATTTAGGAGGTGACAGCCTTAGCCCATATTATCAAGTTATTTTTTTCCCTCTGCAACCAACAAGTTATCAGTGGCGTAACAGTGGCATTAGGCTAGTATCCTGTTCCTATCAACTTTTCACCTAGTGGTTTGAGCCAAATCTATTGATGATCCTTGCCTGAATCCTTGTTGTGAAGTGGTAATCTCTCAAAATTCTATTATTTTTAAAAATTTGCTGGCATTCTTTTAACAAGAAGAGCTTTCCTTTATCAACTAAGTCTATTTGGTTACTTTAAAATACAGTTTCTGTTCCAAAAAAAGAAAGTTTAATTCATGATAGCTGTAAAATTGTTAGTCTCTGATTTGAAATTTTTAAAAGTCATTTGTGTGAAATTTTAGAAATACTAGATTTTTCCCACTTATATAATAAGTATTGGGCCCTTAACTATGGCCTGAGAATATAGAAATAGATAAAATATGGTCTTCATTCTCTTAAAGTTTAAAATCTATTTGAGAGAGGGGATTAAGCAGAAAGTATAAAATATTTCAGGAGGCAATTTGTCAGATGATGAGTATGAATAAAGAAACAACATGAGAGGAAGTAATGAACACCAAAAGGCTTCACTGAAAAGCTGGGTGGAAGGAGAGGAAATCTGAAGGGATGGAGGTTTTTCAGTGGATGTTAAGGAAGTTTCTGGCACATTGATAATGAAGGGTAAGCCAGGTTATCTGGAGTGAGGCACAGAGAAGCTGAGAAAATTGCTCAACATCACATAGAAAGTAAGTAGATCATATATTGAAACCGAAGACAGCCAGAATCCAAAGTCTGTTATTTTTTTCTTCCTTTTTTTCATCCTCACTCGAGGACATTTTTCATTGCTTTTTAGAAAGAGAGGAAGGGAGAAAGGAAGGGAAAGAGAGAAACATCTATACAACAGAGAGGCATCTATTGGTTGCACCGCTACACACCTGGACCAGGTATCATACACACTGCAACTGGGGATCCAACCTCAACCTTTTGGCTGTGGGATGATGCTCTAACCAACTGAGCCACACCAGCCAGGGTCAAAGTCCCTGTTCTTTATTTATAACATCTTTCATTTCTTTGATATTAGGTGTATGATTTAGATTTTGGGGGTACAAAGATAAGTCATTGATGATTTCTTAACAAAAGGATATTTACAAAGGTAAGTTGGAAGTAGTTAATATGACAAGTGTACTAGAGAAGAAACACTAGAATTGAAAACATCAACGTTTCTTTCTTGGGAGCAAAGCTTTGCCCATTTTTGCTTCGAATCTCTTAAACTTTTGTTTTAACAACAAATATGAATAATTATATTTTAATGGTATATAACATGTGAGACCATAAAGGCTTGGGTTAGAAAGGACAGATGGGAGAAATAACCTGAGGGGAAAAATAACCAGGATGACCACCTTATTTCCTATTAAGAATATTATACAGAATAGGGCTGGAAGGGAAAGACACTCAGAAAATAGAAGGGTGTCAGTAAAAGTTTTAAGCTGGCCATGAAAAAGACCAGTAAACAAGTTTGGATTGATAAAGAAATAAAAATCTTAGGAAACCTAAGGTTGATCCCAAGGTTTCGTGAAGAATTGTATAAAATAAAAGAGGGAGATTTAAATATGATAGAATACATTCTATCATATTTATTTGTTACTTTATTTGTTCCCTCAAACCCATAAAATCAATAACTAGATGAAAAACAGAAAACTCTGTCCTTGTTGAAATAAAGAAATAGTAAAGTCCCCAAACCATAGGCTCAAAACATATTTATCAAATTCTTTGCATAAACTGATGGCCTCAAACAGTACAGGTTTTCCTAAAGTTCATATGATGGTCCAGAAACCATCCAGTGACCCTTTGGTTAGATCTAGGGGTATGAGAAGTTGCACCTGTGCTGAAGATTTGGAGTTCTTCGTGGAATCAAGGTCAACACTATAGAAGTGCAGGGAGGGTTGCAGAATGAGACAGCATGCTTATTGCCACTTGATTATCTTACTCTCCGACTTCTAGCTGAAGACACTGCTCTAGAGAATTGCTAGGGTGGTGGTGATTGTAAGAGTTGAACACAGGCCACATACTTCCTGATTTCAAAACTTATTGCAAAGTTATAATAATTAAAACAGTATGGTGCTGGAGATAAGGTAGACATATAGACCAATGGAATAGAACAGAGTGTCCAGAAATAAACCCTCATGTAAATGAGAAAAAAAAAAACTTTGTCAAGGACCACAGAATAAAGGAAGGATAGTGTCTTCAGAAAATGGTGCTGGGAAGAGTAGATATCCACATGCAAAAGAATGAAGTTGGACCCTTACTTCATACACAAAAATTAACCCAATATGGATTAAAGGCATAAATGTAAGACCTTAAACCATAATACTCCTAGAAGAAAACATAGGGGAGAAGTTTTATGATTTTGGATTTGTCAGTGATTTCAGGGATATGACACCAAAACCACATATAACAAAAGCAAAAGTAGACAAAAGGGACTACTTAAAACTTAAACAAAAACTTCTGTGCAACAAGGAAACAAAGTGAAAAGGCAACAGACAGAACAGGAGAAGATATTTGTAGATTATACATTTGATAAGGATTTAATATCTAGAATATATAGAGAACTCTTGGAATTGAAGTTGCAAATAATCACATATGTAGCTCGACTAGGAATTTACACTGGAATTTTAGTACTTGGTATCTAAATTTATATACCATGATTTTTTCATTGGCTTGGGTAACATCCACTTTAACTAGCAGTCAGTCATACTTAGCCATCTTTATTAAGATAAATGATTTAAAGTTATTATGCATTTATATGCATTTAATAAGTATAAAAATATTTTAAGTGAATAAAGATTTTATATTGGTTAAATGATCAAAATTTTCATTATTTTAACACTTTCAGTTGCCACGAGTATTATATTTTTACATGACTATTTTGTATTCATTCAAGTGAAAATAAGTCTTGTTTTTGCAGGTACTGCATAAGCCGACCACAATATAAGACTTCTTGTGGAATCACCTCATTAATTTCTTGTTGGAATTTCTTATATAGCACAATGGGATCTGGAAAGTAAGTATGTTACTTTTTAAAAAATTGATTTGAGAAAGAGACAGAGAGATTGATTTGCATTCACTGGTTTAGTCTTGTATGTGCCCTGACTGGGTGTTGAACCTGCAACCTTGGAATATAGGGACAGTGTTCTAACCAAGTGAGCTACCTTGCCAGGGTAAGTATGTTAACTGATTGGTATCTCTAAGCTCTAAGGTATTTGGTGTTGCTCTTTCCATAATGGAAGGTTTTTAAAGATATATTTTAAATTGAGCAAAAACTGCTAAATTTTGTTTTAAGCCTATTAGTTATAAATATATGCGTCAATTATTTATGATAAAATAAAAATATTACTGAAATTATTTGCAAATCAGACAGATATATTAATATTGAAACAGGTTATATTTGCATATGGTTGGAATTGTAAAATGAAAGGCAATGTTTCTTTTTGTAGTCTTCCACCTATTACCCAGGAAGAAGCATTACATATTTTGGGCTTTCAACCACCATTTGAAGATATTAGATTTGGCCCTTTCACTGGAAATACAACACTTATGAGGTATGAAGCCTTCACATAAAGACAATGCCTTATTTTTAGTTTTGCTAAATAATAATACTGTAGATGTGTGTTGATAGTAAACCATGTATCCAGCTGCCAGACCCCAACCTTTAGTAGATATGCAAAACTTGGGCTCCACCTGAATTTCTCTGGAATTGCAATAGTGCCATCTTTGTTATAGAAACTGTAGTTATGAGCAAATCTTTTTCTTTTCAGATGGTTTAGACAAATAAATGACCACTTCCATGTGAAAGGATGCTCGTATGTCCTATATAAACCTCATGGGAAGAATAAAACAGCTGGAGAAACTGGTAGGTAAACATGTAGAAGATTTATACACACTATGGTAGGGATTTTAGTGGGTACAGGGATCAAGTAAAAAGGTAAAAGGACTCATGTACATGGGCAACAGTGTGGTGATTGTTGGGGGAAGGGGTATATAAGGGAACTAAACGGCAATGGAAAAAAATAAGTAAAAAAAAGATTTATACACATGTACATGTACAAGCACATGTACATACATACTTCAGACCAGGGGTGTCAAACTAATTTTCACTGGGGGTCATATCAGGCTTGCAGTTGCCTTCAAAGGGCTGAGATAATTTTAGGACTGTATAAATATAACTACTCCTTAACTGTTAAGGAATTGAAATTATATTCAGCCCTTCAAAGGCAACCCCAAGGCTGATGTGGCCCCCAGTGAAAATGAGTTTGACATTTCTGCTTTAGACTATCTCAAAGATTAGTCGTTTTTATTATGTAAATGTGAAACACAATCTGTTACTTTTGTATCTCTTTATCCAAGGGGAAATCATAATACTTATCTATAGGGCACTTTCAATATACAGTTTAATATTTTTAGTTCTCCTCATCTTTGCATGTATAGTTTTTAGGCTTTTAAAGCATGTTATAAACACTACTTTAATTCATTTTTTGTATTATTTGGCTCCATAGGGTGTGTGAGTGTGTGTGCATGCATGCACACATGTATGCTGGTTAAACTCTTCCAGAAAGCAGCATGGAATGTGCAATTCCTTTTCCTAAAAGGGAATGAAAGGATTTTAGAATAGTTGATGTTAGACTTGTATAATAACATAACAACATGGACTATGAAAGTGACAGAGTTCTATTATGGGATAGTCTTGGTCATAACAGTTATGGAGTTGATTTTAAGGATTGTTTTAGGTGCTAATTTAAATAATTTGCATTATTTGACAATTTTCACTTTTTTAATTTGACAATAACCTTTGACTTTACAAGTCAAAAATTGTAATACAGTGTTAAAGAAAAAATATTGTGATGTTAAAATTATAAGGAAGATTATATTTAAGACAATTGTAACAAGGGTATCATACTGGGGGACCGTGGGATCAATCCTGAATGCAACAAAGGCAGCTGGGAATTTATAGACAGCTAGCAAAGTGAGGGGTCAGTGGATGGAGAATTACTAAGAAAAGGCACTAAGAGTAATAGAATTCTTGCTATACTGGTCTAACAGGATTCTTACAACAGGGAAGTTAAGGTCTTAGATCTCAAGGGTGGGAGATGATATCTCATTAGGTATCAGGGGTGACTAATATCTAAATTGACTTAGCAGGAATCTTACTAAAGCCGAATTCAGCAAGGATGGGCACAGAAGCCCTAGACTTGAGGCCTAGTTGAGAAGAGGGCTCTGAGGAGCCTAAATAAAGGTTGGTCAAGGAGAGAGTCTTTGTCAACAGAGAGGATATATGGTTTCCCAAGGTTAAGGATTGAACATAGAGGAGGATATATTTCTCTTGTCCTATATCAGGTATATCAAGTCAGGTAAATTTGGAATTCACATGTTGGTTTCTACACATACTGGTTTTATGATCTTGAACAAAGAAGTTAGACACTCATTGAGGCCAGTGTAGACCTTGGTCTTTCTATATTTATACCCTCTCCAAAGGGTATAAGATAAAAGGAGACATTTTTGTAATACATTTAGCTCCTTGTTTGACATAGACTGAGGACTCAATGAATGTTAGCTTTTATTCTTACTGACTGAATTCTGTGCAGGGAGCCTGTCCCTGTGGAAAGGGCAGCTTTAAATAGTGTTTTAGTAGTTTTTTTCTGTTTCTAGTGAGACTATCAACACACCTGTCTTACTAATTGATTAGGAAATTGACCCAGCAATCCCATTTATGGTAACACAAAGTCTGTCTGGAAAAAGTCCAGCCATTATTAATAGCACAAGAATGGTTTACGTGACATCAATGTAACTTGAGAGCCAAGCAGAGTGGACTGGAATGGGCATGCATAAACAGTGATGACTGCATTGGGGTCAGTGGGGTCATTGAGTGAGCGTATGTACTGTGTGGCTGCCATATTCAAAATAACTGAGCAAGTAGAGCATTGAATATGCATCACATTTTGTGTGAAGCCTGAACATTCCTCTGTGGAAACTATGCAGATGATTCAGAAGGCTGTAGCTATGGGCAACGGGTGACTGGCAGCTTCATCATGACGTTGTGCCTACTCATGCATCACGTCTCATGCAGAGATTTTTGGTAAAATGTCATATCACCCAGGTGACTCAGCCTCCCTACAGCCCAGATTTGGCACCCTATGACTTCTGGCTTTTCCCAAAACTAAAGTCACCTTTGAAAGGGAAGAGATTTCAGTGTCGATGATATTCAGGAAAATACAGTGGGTTAGTTGATGGCAATTGGGAGAACTGTGTAAGGTCCCAAGGTGCCTACTTTGAAGGGACTGAGGTATCATTGTTGTATGTACAGTGTTTTCTTCTGTCTTATATCTTCTTCAATAAATGTCTCTATTTTTCTTATTTCATGGCTGGGTACTTTATGGACTGACCTCGTATATCCGAAAGAACCCAAAACACTCATTTAAAAGAACATAAGCACCCCTATGTTCATTGCAGCATTATTTACAATCACCAAGATATGGAAGCAGCCCAAGTATTCATCAGGAAATAAGTGGATAAAACAACTATGAGACATTTATACAATGGAATACTACTTGGTTGTAAAAAAGAAGAAAATTTTACCATTTGTGACAATATGGATGGACCTGGCGGACATTATGCTCAGTGAAATAAGCCGGTTAGAGAGAGATAAATGCCATATGATTTCACTCATATATGGAATCTAATTAACAAACTGAACTACCAAGGAAAATAGAGACAGACTTATAGAGAGGAGGATGACAGTGAAAGGGTGGATGTGGAGTTAGGGAAGCGGAGGGATTGAGGAAAAAGGAAAAAGGATTCATGGACATGGACAACAGTATGGCGATTGCTGAGGGGAGGGGAGTTTAAGGGGATTAAATGTTAATAGTAAAAAATACAATAAAATTCACGAAAGTAAAAAAAAATTGATCAGGCAAATGAAACTAATGAAACTAATGAAACTTAGAAAGGGTATGCTTTCCAATAAACCTAAGACTCTCTCTCATTTGAGGAATCGGGTTAACTACCTATACTCCCTGTCTTCCCTGTTTGGCAGGGGATAGGAGTGGTTGCTGCAATTTCTTTTTTTTAATATATTTTATTGATTATGCCATTACAGTTCTATTTCCCCCCTTCATTCCCCTCCACCCTGCACACCCTTCCCCCACCATTCCCCCCTTTAGTTTATGACCATGTGTCTCAAGTTCTTTAGATTCTATATTTCCCAAACTATTCTTGCCCTCCCCCTATCTATTTTCTACCTACTGTCTATGTTACTTATTTTCTGTACCTTCTGCTCCCTTCTCCTTCTCCCACTCCCCTGTGGCTAACCCTCCATATGATCTTCATTTCTATGGTTCTGCTCCTGATCTAGCTGTCCTCTTAGTTTGTTTTTGTTTTAGGTGTGGTTCTCAATAACTGTGAGTTTGCTGTCCTTTCACTGTTCATCTTTTTTATCTTCTTTTTCTCAGGTAAGTCCCTTTAACATTTCATATAATAAGGGCTTGGTGATGATGAACTCCTTGAATTTGATCTTATCTGAGAAGCACTTTATCTGTCCTTCCATTCTAAATGAAAGCTTTGCTGGATAGAGCAGTCTTAGATGTAGGTCTTTGGATTTCATGACTTGGAATACTTCTTTCCAGCCCCTTCTTGCCTGTAAGGTCTCTTTTGAGAAATCCACTGACAGTCTGATGGGAACTCCTTTGTAGGTGACTGTCCCCTTATCTCTTGCTGCTTCTAGAATTCTCTCCTTCATTTTAATCTTGGCTTATGTAATCATGATGTGCCTTGGTGTGTTCCTTTTTGGATCCAACTTCTTTGGGACTCTCTGAGTTTCCTGGATTTCCTGGAAGTCTATTTCCTTTGCCAGATTGGGGAAATTCTCCTTTATTATTTGTTCAAATAAGTTTTCTACTTGTGGCTGTTCCTGTTCCCCTTCTGGTACTCCTATAATTCGGATGTTGGAACGTTTAAAGATGTCCTGGAGGTTCCTAAGCCTCTCCTCATTTTTTTTGAATTCTTGTTTCTTCATCCTTTTCTGTTTGGTCATTTTTTTCCTCTTTCTGGTCCACTCCTTTGATTTGAGTCCCAGTTTCCTTTTCATCACTATTGTTTTCCTGTGCATTACCATTCATTTCAATTAGTTTTCCTTCATATGTTCCTCTAATTTGTGACTATAATCAACCAGTTCTGTGAGCATCCTGATCACCAGTGTTTTGAACTGTGCATCTGAAAGTTTGGCTATTTCTTCATTGCTTAGATTTATCAGCTCTGGGGCTCTGAGTTGTTCTTGAGCCATGTTTTGATCTGTTTATGCCTGTTACGTAGGAGGACGTGTTCACCAAGGCAGGGCCACCCAGGTCGCTCGTTTGTGACGCTATATGTGGGGACGGGTCAGAGAGAGGCCACCCAGGTCACTGGTTTGTGATGCTGTATGTGGGGGTGGGGTCAGAGAGGGACAATGGCTGTCCCCTGTGCCACTTTCTGCCACTGGGGCCAGCACGGTCTGTCCCACCGCTTCGCTCCTTCACCAGTTTATATGCGCTTGAATGTGTGACTGTGGTCAGCCCTCAGTGAGTCCACTGCCTTGTGCCCTCAGTGGGTCCACTCACTACTCCACACCTGGGATCTGCCTACAGCTGCCAGCGTACCTGGGTTGCGTGCCCAGGTCAGTCCGGTGGGTCTTTCCTGCCCGACCCCACTCTGCTGCTGGCTCTGCCCCTCTTACCGGTTTGGCTGAAGGGTTTGTTTTTGTCAGACTTCCATGTAGTTCAATTTTCCGTGGTTTGGCTGCGTTTTTGTTGCTAAAACTTTGTTGTTTTTAAACTTGGTTGTGTGAGAAGGCGCAGTGCTTCCACCTATGCCTCCATCTTGGCG